ATTGGACTCCATTAGCTCAGCCGGTAAAAGCGCAGCTACAAATTTTTTTGCACTTCCAACACAATTATACTAATGCAAAAATGGTACAGGCATTGAAAGCTCTCAATTAATAACTGTGGAAGGGCATCTAGAACACTAAGTTGAGAGCACTCAATGAGCTAATATCCGATAAGCAATAAGCTAGAAATACGAGAAGAAGAAAAAGAAGAACTTTTTTGGATTTGTAATCCTTTAAAAGCTTGACAATCGCTATTGTACCCATTCAATTTACTATCGAACAATAGTACTGAAAACAGTGAGAAAAAGGATAAGTTTACAATTTTATTTTCATACTAAGGCACAAAAACTCCAATTAAAAGTAACTTAATAATGGACACGTTTGTATTAAACTTTCTCATTATTTTAATTATCCTCATCGTGAACAATTCATGAAATCTTTACATGGTTACATGGTTACATGGTTGACGTTTCAAATGGGACCGTGAGTTATATACTTGCTTTCGAGATTAGGTTCACAATATAGAGAACAACTCTTGAACTTGTATCACGTTTTCCAGAACTAAATCATGATTTCAGTTTACGTTTTCATGACTTCTGTTGCCGTTACCGGTGTGTGGCGTACGCTAGCGTAGGCGTTACTTTTATTTGTAGAGCGAAAATCGCCTTATTCCGAAAATCGTGAGTTGAGGTTGACCAATTTCGGAACGGATTTTTTCCCGTATAACAATTTGATAAAAACTGAATTCACAAAAAAATAAGTTAACCTTCAACCCGTCAAATTACGATAAGATCAATCAAAAATTAATACTCTAGCATTCAGGCTAAGGACGGGGTGTCCTGTGCTGTACGAAGAAGTTTTCTTCATTCCGTTCGATCTATACCTGCAAGTCTGCGGAAGGCTGCAGGTTGCCTTTCACCTGATCGATGCACCTTGCGTACTGCGCGCCTCTTCTTCTTGTTCCAGTCGGGCCGCTATCATGAACCACCTAGTCGTCATACGAAATTCTTACGACGTGCCCAGTCCACCGTAGTCGCCCAATTTTTGTGATGTTGACTATGGGTGGTTCTCTCAGCATTCGGTGCAATTCGTGTTTCATTCGCCGTTTCCACTTTCCGTCTTTTATCTGCACTGCACCGAAGATGGTACACAACACTTTCCGTTCGAAAACACCAAGGTAGGTCCTCCACAAACATTGTCCAAGTCTCGTAGCCGTAGAGGTCCGCTAGTCTTATCGACGTCTTGTAGATAGTCAACTTCGTGGAGTGGAGAATTTGATTCAATCGGAGCGTCCTCTGGAGTCCAAGGTAGGCAGGTTTCCATGCTACAATGCATCTTTGAATTTCTCTGCTGGTATCATTATTGACAGTCAAGGTGGGAGGCTAACATTATCTTTCCTGGAACCTCTTCCACTCATGTATTTCGTCATCGATGCGTTGATGGCAAGTACAATCCGCCTAGCTTCAGCCTTCAGTCTGATGTACGTTTCCGCCATCAGGTTCTGCGCCTATCAATGTCATCGGTAAAGTCAAGAAGGTGGATGAACTTCTTGGAGATCGTGCCTGTCGTTTCTATCTTCGCTCTTCTTATCCCACCTTCCAACGCGATGTTAAATATCAGACCGAAAAGTTCGTCACCTTGCCGTAACCTCCTTCGAGATTGAAAGGGACTCAAGAGTGTTCCCGATACTTGAACAACGCACATCACTCGATGTAATGTCGCCTTGATCAATCGCGTCAGTTTATCCAAAAATCCGTAGTCGTGCATAATTGTTGATCTCGATCGATTGAATGCCGATTGGAAATCGATGAACTAATGTTGTGTGGGCACTTGCCGAATCGTGAAAATTTGGTTCATGGTAGTGTGCGCACCCATGAATCCCGTCTGGTATTACCCGACGTACCCTCTTGCAAATGGCGACAGGTGGTGGCATAGAATTTGGGAGAGAAGCTTGTAGGCTGCGCTGGTAGTTACAGCAATCCAACTTGTCGCCCTTTATGTAGATAGGGCACACGACCTTTGATCCACTCTTCCGGTAATAACTCCTCCTCGCAAATCTTGAAAATTATCCAATGCAGCGCTCTATCCAGTGCATCACAACCGTATTTGAATAGCTCACTAGATAGTTTATCAACAGCAGCTGCTTTGTTGTTTTTCAGCCTTCTTGGAGATCACAGGGGCCTGTCGTACTCGTGCTCCCAGATTTGTTACCGTACCTTCGTTCTCTGTTGCATCGCCGTTGAAGTGTTCGACGTATGTAGTACTGCTTCCACCTCTCAATCACGTCATACTCTTTCGGGAGAAGGTTACCCAAGTTGCACACATCTATCACACAAAGTACCAGCAACTTGATTGTAACTAAATTAGTCCTATAGCTGTTACCTCAACCGGTTTGCAATAAGTGTGATACTATGGAACGGTCCAATGACATATTTTCAAACCATCCGCATCTTTTTTTTCTAATCCTACTGTATAAGTTTCAGCGATACAAAATCCAAGACTTACATACAAGACGAAACTTGATAATCGATACAATGTTAAAATAGAGTTGATAAAACAAATAAAAAGCAAAATTCTTGAATACTATTTCAGGATCAATTTAAAAATTCAGTTTTGAATTTCTATTCTAAATTATGAGTCAAAACATTCCATTGACAAAATTATGGTAAGTTTTTTAGTAAGTCCAATGTAAATATTATTTTCATTTTCTGTCTGACATTACTCAGTTTTTGGTCACGACGGGGAGGGGGGTCAAATATAAATTACGAGGGTCAAATACTTTGAATGAGAAATATCTAGATACGATTATTGAGCATTAAAGCAAACGGGTAGGGTCCACTATAAACCTTTCTTATTCTGCCCCTTCAATATTATGTACTGACTGTTCAAGTTATAAAACGGACATCAAAGCTGTGATTTTTTGAATTTTACATTGTATCCGTGTTGTGTATTCAGGATATGTATGTATACAAAAAATCAATATTGATATAAATTAAAACTATAATTTGCATTAAAGAGCCTTTCAGTATAAGGCTGGTTTGCCTCTGAACAAAATATATAGATATAGGCTTTAAAACTTTTGCACAGCCGCTTCCGGTATGGCATCTCACTCATCCTGCGTGCCTCCAGTTGCTCCAGGGCCAACGCCAGAGACTTTCATCCTGGGTGGCTGCATGCTTTGCCTTGATTGCTGTCAGTGATATGTCGCACCTTCAATGACTGACTAGAGGAGGCTTCTCTCACATACATAAATTGTAATATCTACCTAGATTTTTACAATCAGGTATGATTGATTTTCTTCATGATTGAAAATTTTATTTATAGCTAACCTTTACTTAAATGAGTCAAATGTGAACAGAATTTTTAGTTTGGAAAACTAAAATATTTCTTATATTTAATATTCATGTTCTAAAAGATTTATATTTTCTGTTTTTAGTAAAATATTCATAAAATATCCAGCGTTTAGATTCCATTAAACTCATTGTTGTTTAAAATTATTTTGATTGTTATTGTTAGAATTCAATCAAAACTGATGGATTACATTTGTATACTCTCTTACTGTATTCTACCTCACCTGTTAACATATTAATCGAGTAGATTGAACATTGCTTTATAGATTTGCGAACTACATATATCCACCAAACTAATAAATCTATCAGCAACGAACAATACAGCAATCTTCGAAACAACTGAAACACACCTCGTTTAACCACACTTTCAAATAGATCCCTAAGGAAACAAACAAAGAAATAAAAAACACACAAAAAAAACGAGAAAAGTCCAGAAGACACACTTTGAACAAACTAGGTATGGGAAAAAGGGGATACAAATAGGATAAATGTACACATGTTCAATTTAAAAATTGTCGTTCCGCTAGATTTTCTCCTTTTCCGTATCTCTCGATGCTATTTTTCCGTACGAGTCCTCCTTCACCTGCTGCTGCCACTGCTAGCACGCGCTGTCTCTTTCACTCACTCTTTCCTGTGTGGCTAGATAACGAGAGCGCTTGTCGTTGACAACAATGGTGCAAACATAAGGACCCGAGCATTCGACCAAAACCTCCTCAGAAGGATCCGTCGTCCTGTCAGGCAGGAGGGGAGTACACAAGTGGCAGGATAAACTCAACAATGGTCCTCGATTCTGACAAATCCTTACAACCATATCGTCAGGAGCTGGAGGGCGGGCGCGGTGATGCATGTGACTGGTAGCGAAGGGTTTGTTGTGTATCGTTTCGATGTTGCTGCTCCAAACATTGGATCAATTTCTCCAATCTCCGAGAACTCTTGGTCCCGGTGGTGGCACCCCGAAGGAAACGAAGGAAACATTCTCCTTTCCGGCTATCGGATAATCAGCAAGCCCTCTCGTCCTGTTTAGCAACAGAGTCAATGAACGAGAGCACACTACACTGTAGGGTTCAGGTCGTCGGTGCCGGTGCATGTTTTCCTTGCTAGCTTCGTTAAAGCAAAGGACAATATTCGAAAAAGTATCGCTCTCATTAGAAAGGACGATTTTTCCACCTTAAAAAGGGAGAGTTGAAGGAGAGTGTGCTCCTGGTTTTCAAGAATTATGTCCAGGGACGTAATGAGGAGATGAAAATTGGAGGAAAAATTCCGAGGTTTTCCATTGAACGGAATGCTCTTGAACACCTTGAATACAGTTTGCACACTAAAGAAAGCAGAACAGACAATATGTGAGAGAAAGAGAGAAGCCATCGCTTTCCCCACCTTAACTTCGAAAAAAGGCGGAGCTTGCTTGGCAATGATTTTTCTCTTCTCTCTTGTGCACACTTGCTTTTCGCCTGGTTGCCACTGCTTCGTGTCTCTACTTTGTGCAATTGATCATAAAAAGGCGTGTTCTTTTGCTATGTAAAGCGTTGCGATTGGTCCGTTCCCAACGCCCTCTTGCCATTATCTCCTACATTCGGACCGGTTTTGCCAGTTCGACCCTTCGGTTGCATACAAACAGACCGGAGACTAGTTTTTCGATATTGTAATTCAGTTACTGCTAAAACGTGAACAAGTGCGCATCGTCGCTACGCAGAAGAAACGAGATTTTTTCGCTGTTGGAGTTTCGTCGCGTGCTCACTCACGGGATTGTTTTGATTTTTCCGCTCTCGCATTTGCAAAACCCGGCGAAGCTGGCTGCCGGGAAAAGCGTCGCGCGTGTGTCACCGACGACGACGGAGGAAAACTGTTGACGAGGTGTGGGTGTGTGCGAGTGGTGGACGGCCGGTGTGCAGGAGTGGGCCAGGAAAACAAAAAGGAAAAATCTCTGTGAGCCACGAGCAAGTGAATGAGGTGAATACACACGAGCGGCATTGTTCTTGTTCTTTTTCGTGTGTTCAGTGGATTACTAGGATCGGGCTCGTGGAAACTCGAAACACTCAGATACTCGCGACGTTGGCACCGAACCCAGTGAAAAAATAGAAGCGCAGTGTGCTGATATTTTCAGTTATTTACAGTTTTTTGTTTGTTTGCCGGAATATTCGTTTTTGTGTTTGTTGTGTTACACGTACTCCAGCACACATAGGAAAGCAGAAGAGCCCGCTTTTTTTGTTGATGTTGTGCTTCGGATGAAAAATATTTGAACAAGTAAAACTGTGTTGTAAGGACATAAAAGACAATTATTATTGATGTTGTAATAAAACATTTTCAATTTCTGTACCGACATTGTTTTGCTGTCTGGAATGAAACACTGAACTTTTTTTTATGAAATCGGAAGAAAGTGAAAAAAGTGTATTATATATATGCAGTTTTTCGTATTACACAAGTGAAACCAACAATGAACATGGAGAATTATGAGTGATTTTCAATTACGATCGGCCTTCGAATGACAAAATTGAAAGAACGGAGCCTGCTGTAGTATATGCAGAGTAGTAGTTCAGTGACCGAACAGGAAACACTGAAATCATGCTGGTTCCGGCAAGCATGATACATCTTAGCACGTCGGGCTGTCCCGAAGGTTGCAACGGTGTGTAGTGGAAGGATCGTACGTAGCCGGAAGTCAAGTGTAATCGACAACAAGGCAACATACCACTCCTATGCGAACCCTTGAAAATCGTCAGCGGTCCTGTTATGTTGTGTTTGATTCTTATTTGCTGTTCTGACTAGTGAAATGATGTAATTTATTCGTTCGTGAATGGATACCAAGTTTCGGCGAATGTGACACAGAAGAGTACAAGTGAAGAGATTCTGTTTTTAAGTTTGTACCTGTAGGATTTAGTCTTTAAGTTCGGTGGAACACTCCGGCCGTAGGTTCCAAACTGTCTCAACATTGTCAGTATAATCATCATCGCATTCTCCAAAGTAGAGAGTGAGGACGGAAACGTGCTCACAAACGCTCTCTCACCGGACGACGTTAGATAATATGGCCGCGTATGCTCAATTTGGTTACACATATCCGTCGGCAAGTCAGGTAAGTTATGGGCTGGTGCTAAAGGTATCGAAAAGAACCTATTTTAAGGTTATTATGTGACAGGAGCCTCCCTTAGCTCAGTGGACAAAGGCGCAGCTACAAAGCAAGACCATGCTGGAGGTGGTTGGGTTCGATTCCCGGTCCGGACTAGGAAATTTCCGGGTTGGAAAATTTCTCGACTTCCCTGTGCATAAAGTATGATTGTACTTGCCACACAATTATACCAGGTACAGGCATAGAAAGCTCTTAATTAATAACTTTGGAAGTGAATCTAGAACACTAAGCTTAGAGCACGAGATAAGCTGATATGTGATAAGCAATATGACCTAAGGTTGAAATTCGAAGAAGAAGAAGAAGATGGGTCAATTATGTTTTTTACTCGAAATTTGTCCAAATGCTTACACAAATAAGACACATTGATTTGGATCAACAATGATGTACATTTTTAGTTTAAAGACCTAAGTGTCATATTGCCAAAAATGAGATCTCACTGTACATGTTTTTAAATATGTATTGTGTTATCTTAGAGAAAATTTTCCTCATCAGCTCTAAAATTCATGGTCGTTTTCATTAAAAAGACATTTCCTGAGGCTAATATCAGTAACGATAGAAAAGCTCATTATGTGGCTTCTTTCAAGATGATTTACAATTTTAAAATTATTATTGAATATGAATACTGGCTGACTGATTCTGTTGAGCTTTTTTTTTGTAGGATCAAGTGGAGCAAGGGAGATTCTGATTGAAAAACTAATCATCAATCTATACTTGATCAGGTTTAATAACCTACTTAAACATGAGTAGAAGTCATGAGAGTCCAATTGCGCAGTATGAATTATCATGCATACGATATATTGATCTATTTTTCTTCCTTTTCGTTCGACCTTTATGTTTATGTAAATCTGTTGTTTTACGTTCACACTAAGAAAAACTGATGAGAATTTCGGTTATCTGAGATCATCATAGCGTCAGATATTATTAATAATATTTTATTGGTCTCGTTGCGCTTTATTTTACATGACAACAAACGTTTACGTTTGATCCACCATGTCAAAGTTGAATTCCGTTTCGTGTTAAATGCGGACTCGGATTACCTCTTAATCCCGTCCCTGTTTTGATGATCTGCAAAATGTATGCTTAGAGTCGTGTTGATTAAGTCTGATGTCGACATCAAAGCAGCCGGACATTCTCAAGATTTCATCCGAGGATAATACTGATTCGACTTTACCACCATTAGTGTGTGCTACAGCCTCGTGCACACATTACGCAACGCATGGAGGGGGGTCAAGCTTGCGTTATTTATTGTTACATAGGTGGGAGGGGAGTAATGGGAAATGCTACGTAACAGATTGGCCAAAGGGTAAAACTTAATTATCAGCTATTGAAAAAATCCACGTGTGCCTTGTTTAAGCTTTCAAACTATTTGAACTTGCCATAACAAAAACTTTTCAAACTGTGATTTTAAATTAAATTTTGGAAAAGGAGGACGTTACGTACTTTTATGGATGGGGGGGGGGGATGGTTATTTTCAAGCGTTACTTATTATTAGGGGTGCGTTCACCTTTAAATATGTGGGTGGGACAAGGCACTAAATATGGTCTCATATACCTTTTGAATATTTTTGGAATTATGTAATTCAGATTTTTAATTATGTTCCCAGGATTGTATCTGGGTGGGGCAAAGCTTTGACTGCCCCACCGGTCCCACCCACTTCTCGTGCCTCTGTTTATTGTTACAAAGGGGGGAAGGGGGTACAAAGTCTGGACTTTTTGCGTGTACCGTGATTGGAACGAAATGTCAGATTTTCAAGGATTCAATATTTTAAATTTGTTCAGTAAAGTGTCAGTATATATTTCGAAACGTGCACACATTTAGAAGGTAGTTACAAAATATTTTTATCTGTGTATACTTTGTTTTGTTCTGAAGTAGTTACTTATATTTTTGACGTTGTTGTTCAACGGTGTCGTGAAATAATAGGGCAGCCTACACAGCATATATTTTGTATTAACATTTGTTAAGCATTAATTTCATTAGTTCAAACATACATCTTTTCAGCTATTATTCGAAACGAAAACATTTGGGATAATCCATATATTTACATATATTATGCAATTTTACATTAAACTCTGTTAATAGGCATTAAGTATTGTGTTTTTGCTTGTTTATGGAATGCATGATCGTTTAAATATCGACTTTAATCTTGTTATTCTAAATTTAAAAACAATCACATATTTTTATTTCAACATATTTTTAAAGGTCTTTAAAATTTAGCAAAACAATCTGGTTGAGCTGGAACTTTACGCCAGCCCTCATTATGTCATAGATGATAATAGAGAGTTATATTATTGCTGCATTCGTAGACACTTACCCTTGTCACTTAACAGTTGTGGTTACTTGTATGCACCTTATTTCAGTCACAATCAAGTTGCAGCAACCTGTTTTGATAGATGTGTGTTGCTTGGGTTAAAAATGACCAGACGTGACGTGACGTGACGTGACGAAAATCATGAAACGTAAACAAACATGTATTGTAAAATTAAGTGAACCGAGTCCAAAACGTATACAACTCGTCGAAAAGTGTTATTGATTTAATTGATTTTAGGTTTTTTTTTCAAGTCATTACTACGCCATAAAGGGCGATCACAACTTACATGTGTCGGTCTCAGAGCATTTAAATTTACATGATTTTTTCTTGGTGTATATATTGTGCGGAAAGTTGTGTGTGTATGTTCAGTGCAGCTTAAACAATTCCTTGACCGAACCAGAAATCAAACCCGCCGTCTCCAACATTTATTTGCTTTTAACCGCCCCTTTACTGACTAGGCTATCGATTTCCAATGTATGGGATCAAGCGCAGTCGCTGCGCGTCTTATTATGAGCTTTTAATGCAGTAGGGGTACGCAAAAGGAAATGTTGGACATTGATATGCTACACAGCAAAAACTTTGTAAATCTACATGAGGCACATTATTGTATTTTCTGGCCTTAGTTGAAACATACAGCAATAAATCATTAAATCAAGTTTTTAATAATTGCATTGCATTTTACGTGCCAGTGTGTTTTTATATGGAAGTCCAAAGCTCAATTGAAATTAATTTTATTTTCAACGAACGAATGACGATATGAATTTATATGAACGTGTAAATTTCAGCATTAATCAATAGAATTTCATATCATTAAACGAATAACTTAATATTTAAAAACCTCATAGCTACTTGAAACTTACAAAATATTTTTATTTGTGTAGGGAGGCATCAGTTCGTGGGTTTATTCACCTAAAAGAGGAAAATTAATTGTTGTTTTCGGTTTGTTTACCGTGGACATAGTGTTCTTTACACACTTCCACAGTGTGCAATGCAATAACAGAATGGAAACTTGCGTGAGGTCTACAGCAGTTGTCGCTAGTGAATGCGGTAGCTTAGTGGCTACCGTTTCTGATCATTGATCTAAAAGTCGGGAGTTCAATCCCAGGCCCATCCCCTTCCTTGTAATTTGTCACTGTGCCTTATTCTATCCCCACTAGATTTAAATAAAACAGCTTTTACTGATCGCACCACACTGAATTCTGATCTAAAAATAATCCAATCCACTAACATAACATAGCTATTGTTACCGTGGCATTTGTGGGATGCAGAGGTAAATTCGGTTTCTAGTAACAACTATTATCAAACTAATGACCAACCTTCCCCTCACCAAAGACCGTGAGAGCGTGGCCGGCAGCGGTACTTAACTATAAATAGAATGAATCAGCGAACTCAATGTATAAGTCCGATGGATATATTTTCCCAATCTCTCCATCTATGTGGTTCTCTGTGCAATTTCACTTCTGATCAGTTAGTAATGGAGTAGCAATTACACAGCAAAACAATAATTTTAATTTCACATCAGAGTGGATGCACTTAAATCGTGTTAAAAATATGGTGTGATATTACTTGCTAAAAATGACAAAACTATCATTAACACTGCATGAACAGACATTACACTGCTTTTACTACATTTGTTCATTTTTGTGACCATAAAAATGACATGAGATTTTCGACGTGATTGATGTGCATCCTTTTGGATGTAACATTAAAATTTATTTTTTGCTGTGTACGACGTTCACGGTTTAAAAAAAGGCCAAGCTTAGTCGAGTAAATTTCCAACTTGAAACATGGCTAGCCTGAACTGGGAATTGAACCCACTATTTCTGGTAGGCCACAACCTTACGGAATAGGCTATCGGTTGGTCCTTATTAAGAATGTATCATGTTAAAAAATCAGTCTAGCGTTATTTGAGTCATGATAAGAATTATATCCAGCTTAACAAACACGCTAAGACCTTGTACAGACATACACATCACGCCGTTGTACTGCTTTAAGCTAGTACCTCAAATTGTACTTTTTCAGACTCTAAATTAAAGGTGTATAATGGTGCTGCTTTGTACACAGCAAAAAATAAATTTCAATATTACATCCAGGAGGATGCACTTCAATCATGTCAAAAATCTCATGTAATTTCTATGGCCACAGTAAAAGCAGCGTAATGTCAGTTCAATCACTGTATTAATGATAATTTTGTCCTTATATAAATATTACACCATATTTTCGACACGATTGAAGTCCATCCACTTTGATGTGATATTAAAATTATTTTTTTGCTGTGTATGTCTGTCGGTGGTGTAATGAAATACTAGCATGGTTGATTTCCTAATTTTAACGAAACATATTTGGAATTACGATTATGTGATTTGTTTTTCGTACTAAGTACCAGTGCTACCGACGCTCCCACACCTGGACCTTACCCATTAACCCATCAACTACGAAAAAGACATGTACATTTCAGTTCCCTGAGACCGACACATGTAAGCGGCCCTTTTGACATAAGAATCAGTTGAAAAAACGAGAAAATCAATTAAATCAAACGTTCTCTTCGGCGAGTTGCTAATGTTTCAGTTTGAGAACACTTTATTTTACATGAAATGTTTGTTTACGTTCCAAGATTTACGTCCAATATAGATTACGT